TAAGGGTGCTGGTGAAATTAGAGACACATGGGACTTGTCAACTTTTGTCTCATGATGACCCAGACCTTTTGCGATTTAAAGTTCTGAGAAGCACTATAACTGCTATGGACAGGCTTGTCACTTACCACCAGCCGCACGACTTGTCACTTGGTATCATCATAAGAAAAAACTCATTTGCAATTGCCTACTTTAACCCTAGTACAATAAACCAATCAGCTGATCATTGTTGTTGAACCATATTTTTTTTTAATGAAGATGAATTGCGTCTTTTCATTTCAATCATACTTTTTTGCATCCAGTGCACTGACAACATATTTGTTGAATTGATTTAATATAAGATCGTCATAAACTTCCTTCTTCTTTGTAAATACAATAATAATGTTGTTTCCCAAATACAGTCAATGCCCTGAGACTGTCTAACCGTCAAATTTGTTCTGAGTTACCTTTAACCCGTGAGCCGTAAAATTCATTTTGGTATCCTATTAAAGATGAAAGAAGTCTTTTAAGCCAATTTGATCTTTAATTACATTACATAAATACAAATTTCAATCAAAAAGATGGCATTTCTTCACACTTTTCTGTTGAATGCGAAAGAAGGGTAAAGTCTAGGTCAGGTATCTAAGGGCGTCGACTGTACAATAAAATTTCCCGTAATAACGTGAGATTCCGTCACAAAAATAGCTATCTATTTTTTGTATATATTTTCTAATCATTTTTCTTTATCTTTTCCCTTAGCATCTGTCTCTTTTTGGACTGCTGATCAATCACAATCCACAATTTGTCATATTCGTATGTCGCTTGGTCCAAGTTCAAGTTTGTTGGACGACATGACCTTGTTCGAAATAATATATTAGGATCATTTTGGAATAAAAGAATTATTTTGGAGCAGAAGTGTGGTATTTGCGATGAAGTATTAATATACTGTATATAATTATATAGGATGTCCCACAGCTGTGGGACATTCTAGATAATATATTTTGCTGCAAGGAGACATTGTTTTATTTTTAAAAGTAAGAAATTCTACATTCAAAGACTTTTAAAAAGTCGTTAGCCCCATCCGGGAATCGCACCGACCAAATGTTATAAAATAACAAATTACTCTATGTTCATGGAAATGTGATATTTGTTATTTCAAAGGAAAACGCCAAAAAGTATTCGTACCACTTTAAAAGTGCGTATGGTTTAGGAGACTTTAAAACCTGAACTAAGAAACAAATAAACGATTCTGTTTTTTTAAAACATCCTGTATTTTTATGATGCTAATCGAAAGGATCACAACAAGGATAGCTCTGGGACAGCCTGTATATTCGTACATTAATAATACGTTATTTATAATATTTCTCGTGGGGTGCACGAAACTAGCATCCCTGCATGACGTAGCATTGCTTTCCTGGATGCTAGCGCAACCTGGGCAACAATCGGCAAGTACCTTACGTCGATTGACAAATCCTTTCACCACGATGGCAAGCATTACAGTGTATGCCATCGATACGATAAAAGAAAACAATACGTTCTCCTTTTTCATATTTGAATCGATTAGAATCGTTTCATAATAACCCAATATTATCGAAGAAATCAAGTCCGTAAGACTCCGTTGACTCAGACATCTCAAAAGATTGCCAGCTCATAGGGCGGTGAAAAAAATGTACATACGACGTCCTATAGTAAGATTATTTACTCGCTGCAGACTCGGCCATAAATTATCAGAGCGAGACAGCGATATTGCGCTTGTCTCCCCTTACCAGTAGGGTACGAGCAGGTACTGGCCTTTTGCTTAAGGGCAAAACCGTGCATTACTGCAGTTGATAAATGCAATCGATATAGATGATGTTCAGTTTTGTTGTAATAGCGAAAGTGGGAATGGATATAAAAATTAATTATTGATAGCATATTATTGATAACAATACGTGCTTCAGCCGCAATATTAATTCCGACAGGTGAAATATGATTTTTATAAGAACTATCTATTGTGACAGAGTCAACGTTCAAACAGTGAATGTATTAAAATAAAATGACGATGAAAATAAAAAAAATTGTCAATAAAGCAGATAAGAAATTACTCAAAAGGTACTGCACCGATTTGTTTTCATCGATAACGGGCAAGAGCACGCGTCACGTGTGTACGTCATTAAGCAGGTGAGAGAGAAAACGCAATATCGATTTGCCGCTCCGATGATTTATGACCGAGTCTGCAGCGAGTAAATAATCTTTCTAAAATAGTCGACAAGCGGTCGGAGAAAGACCTCCGTGCCCTGTACGTAGAGAACTGGGAGGAGATCTCACGACACAGAGCGCGCTAGCGCCAACTCGTATCGGAGGCTTAGACCCATTTCGGGTCGGAGAGCCGGAGGAGTAACGCACACACTATAATAATAACGCACACATTCAGCATAGCCCCGCACTTGGGAAACCCTGTGTCGCGGGTGCCATGGACACACACATAGACAACCTCAAATTACACCCAAACTCACGAGAGAAATAAATGTAGGCTATGCAAATATTTCTCCCGGCCCGGGAACCTCTGAGTGGCAGTCCGGCATGGTAACCGTTCGGCCACGGAGGCACTTGAAGAAGTACGTATGAAATACTCATTTCATTCAGCCTTGTGATTGATGCGTGGGTTATAAACAGCGCATCCCTAAGTCCGTACTGAATAATATTGGTGTAAACGTACCGCGAAAAGCCAAATAAAAAAGAACATTTAATAAATGAAATGAGGTGAGGTTTATATAAAAGTGGTGTAAAACCCACATATTTTTTTTAATACAATATTATTTGAAATGAGACTAAAGTACCCGATTATTTTATATCTGAACGCTATTTTCATGTATAATTAAATGTTACACACGTAGAGGGAGAATAATTCTCCCTTTTGCTCTGATAGCCTCAAATGACAGTTGGACTTTTGACAAACGAATATTTGATTGAAAAATATGAATTAAAAAAAAACTTGCAATGTGGTTTACACTTATAGCAACCATTACCACAAAACTGCCGGAAAGTATGTGTAAAGTACACCATTATCTCACAGAGAAGTTTTTGCTCGCGTTCATAAATATATTCCTACTGCAAACGAAATTACCTTGTCGTAACATTTGACAGTATATTTCTGAATTTCTCCTTATATTATGTGCTGAAAATTATGAATGTATGACCAAACACAAACAGTTGAAATTTACCATTAATCAAAATATACAGTGTGTAACAAGACTATGCGACACGGAGGGAAATTATTTAAATAATTGTAGAAAGGACATTTTGTTTCATGGAGACATTAGTTTATTTTTAAAAGTAAGTAATACTGCACTCCAAAATTTAAAAAAAAGTGTTATTACAGGCACATGGGTCTTGTCAAGTTATATATCAGGGTGACGGGCGGAGTGGCAGTGCCCCTCAGATCTTTGCGATTTAAAGCTCTGAGTGGCACTGCAACTGTTACAGACAAGCGTGTCGCTTACCATCAGGCGCACGATTAGTCCGTCCCGATACTTGATATTACAAAAAAAAAGAAAGCTGTTAAGTGATTGTTTACACGCATAAATTAAGTTAAAAACAAGTTAATTACTTTGTCACTTTACACGTCCAGACCGGCCATACTGCAGACACTTACTCATATTGGACAACAAAATGTATTATAGTTAATAGCATATCACAATTTTAATCAGAAAAGTTTCATTTTATTTAATCTATTACATACTTAAATATGTCGTACGTTTTTACAATCATTTTAAAGTCATACAGCCTTTTAAACAGCCTGTATAGAAACAAATTTGGAGTTACGTTTAATTTGCGAAGTTTTTATTTAATTTCCGGTAGATGTCAGTTCTTTCTTGCGATAAGATCCATAATCAAATTAGAACACCGTCTGTCTGACTTTTTTCATCGTGTGCAATTTAATAATATCAACTTACTGGACCGTTGAATAATACTTCGCTGCCCTACGCACTTAATATAAAAGGTAATACAAACAAACTATGTTTATTAAATCAGCCAAAAAAAATTTCGTTTGTAATGTTTAATAATCGCGAAAACTTAAGAACTCGCTATCTATGATTGATGCCACTATGTTGTACTACATTACATATATAATACAAGTACATGTCACATGTGCGTTGGTTGGATCGGCAGCGTCGGAACGCGTATACATCGGACAAGGGACCAGAAGAAGCGGAGAGGAGTGCTGCGATGCATAAGTAAGTGGGGTTACGTTGTGACACCGCATTGTTCTCTACTAAAGCACCCGTTCTGGCGGAAATCTCCTGTAGCTCCCTGAGCTGAGGTCCATGCCGTGCGCGAGGTTATAAGCCTTCCGCTCGCCCTTTTTCCGGTGGCGCAGTCAACGCACCGGCAAAGGTCAGAGTGGAATCGCTTTTCATTAAAAGATTAGCTTACTTCTGCTTCTTCCCTAGTCGTAATACTACAGAAGCATACACGCCTTATGCAATAACGTAGCATTGGTACGATGTGACCTCCTTACATCGTCATCCCACCTTTTTGTCGCCTTTTCTCCGGTTCCTGGCCACTTTTTTTTAAATTTTGAATCGTTCTTTAATTCCTTTGCGTCGCCATTCTGGTTTTGTTTCGTTCCATTGCCACTCCCTGCTCAATTGCGGCAGCGTATTGCGTAATGTGCCTATTTTAATACCAATTTGTAATACCGCATTACTCTGCCCTTCTGGGCCTTTTCTTTTCTTTACCATCAGCTTTACAATAAATTTCTGTGGAGCTGAAGTTTTCTTATTTTATTGCCGTGAACTTGGTCACGAATCATTAGGGTTTACAACGTTTTCAATACTATGACTTTGATTAGTTCAAAATCGTCGCATACAGCGACGAGCAGAACAAATGAAACTTTTTTTGACCTAAGAAGACGGGTGGTTCCATAATAAAGTTTCGCTTACTCTGCTTGTCGTATACCGTAGTATTCTACAATACTGCAGTAATGTATAAAGGCAACGATGTTTTCAGGAAATTATTTAATAGACTTGATTTACACTTACCAGTCAAAAAGGAAAGTCTTCTCATAGCCGGGAATGGATGATTTCCAGAAGTATCAAGAAGATCCAGCTGGTACACCTCTCCTCTGATCCGGTACAGCTTACGGTGGAAGTCTTCAATGGTGGGCGTGTAGCTGTCCTCGAACTTGGTGCCAAGAAACCGGGATACGAGAGAAGTCTTGCCTACACGCGCTGACCTGTGGAGAAAACAAGTTATTTCTATAGAAAAGTTTCCATATAAAATTACCTGTATAGTCAAGTGGGGTAAGAGGACCATACTTTATATTTGAGTTAAACATTTTGAGTTCTACGAAGCCCCTGTTCTTCGCCTACCATAACCTCTTAAAACAATATTACTTTAACCTTTAAACTTGCTTGACTTTTCGTACCATAACATAATTTATTTCGTAAAATTATAACAGCGCCATCTATATGCTCCTTGATGAAACTTACAGTTGACACTTGACTATAGTTCCGAACTCACAACGTGACTATCAAGACTAGCTTGTTTTATTTATTTTTCTTCATGAAAATGTGGAATAATTATTGAAAACAACGTAATTTTAATAGATTTTGTTATTACATACTATTATTTTCTTAACAGTCAAAATTCTCTGAATGTAAATAACATTAAGTACTGAAACATTATACTACGATAAGACGATTCGGAACATCAAAAAAGAAAGAGATGGCACTATATAGTTCACATAGCGTTGTCTCTTTCCTATTTTTAGTAAGGAATAGACAATATTGGGAAATCATTCGTTCTTTCAATCACTTTTGCAATTATACATTACTTAGTTGACAGGTTCGTCATGGTACGATTATGAGTAATATTCATTGACTTATGTAAGTCAATGGTAATATTACAATAAGTTTACTTTAAGCTTACGTTGAAATAAGATTGTTTTTGGGGGTTAAGTAGCTCGCGTCCGTAGGCTGTGTACCCTCGAGACCCTACACGTGACCCCTGGGTGGTGCCAAATAAGCTACAAACTCCGGTGGTAGACCTTGGTCGTGGCTGGTGACCACCCTCTGGGCGAAGCCTAGCCGCCAAACAGCTATAGCTGTGTTCCGGCTTGACGCCCAGAGTAGCCGCTCTAGAGTGAAGGGTCTGTACAGTTGCACTGCACTGATTTGGTCGATCTCGGGGCTCCCTTGTTGTTGCGCTGGGAACCTGGACGCGGAGGGTAGCGGGATCCGAAGCACGGTGCTCCGCTGGCCGACCGCAGGTAGTAGGGGGCCCAATTAGCTGATTAGCCTCCAGTAAAAGGCTGCCCCGCCAACTCGCGAAAAATCCCGGGGTGCTCCATCGTGCCGGTTGGCGACCGGATGAAAGGACCCGATGGCCACTCCCGGGGGGGTTCGGGCGTCCCCGCGCGCTCCAGTCTAGTTTCCCATCGGCGTACCATATAGGGTATGTGCCGCATGACTTTCAGTAGTAGTGTCTCGTACAACTGCCTTCGCTCTCCCCATTCACTCTAACCCTAATATGAAAAGGTCAAGAAAATTGAGGAAGGCTAAACAGCGGATGCACGTCCTTTCACTTAAAGTGCACCTCTCGAACATCCGAGGTCTGCACTCCAATCTCTCATCTGTCCACCACCATCTTGAGACTGAAAGGCCTCACATGCTCTTCCTCACGGAGACCCAAATTAGATGTCCTTCGGACACGGCGTATCTGCATTACCCAGGTTACATTCTGGAGCACAAATTTAAGCAGCGCGCTGGTACCTGCGTTTACGCTCGTGATGACATCTGCTCTAAACGTCTCCGTGACCTTGAAGACCCCGATCTCTCTGTAATGTGGGTTCTGGTAGACACTGGACTGGAACAAATTGTCTACGCCAGTGTGTATCGGTCGCATTCTGGAGACCCGGAGACGACTAGGCTGTTCAACCATCTCTGCAGCTCGGCGGAAACAGTCCAACAACGGTATCCTAAAGCACAACTTGTCTTTTTGGGGGACTTTAATGCCCATCACCAGGAATGGTTGTTCCCATACCAAAAAACCGACCACGCTGGAAGAGAGGCGCGGGCATGTGCTCTATCACTAGACCTCACCCAGCTGGTGAGTTACGCTACCAGGGTACCGGACGTTGACGACCACACTGCCAATTGCCTGGATCTTCTGCTGACATCCGATCCAGACCGCTACCAAGTATCGGTCTCATCCCCACTAGGGACATCCGATCACTGTATGGTGAAATCTGTATCTGTCTACTCCCCGCCCGATCTCAGTACGGGAAGTACTAGGAGGATGTGGCGATACCAAAGCCAGTGGCCCTGACGGAGTCCCAGCGATTGTCCTGCGGAACTGTGCACCCGAGTTGGTGTTGACTCGCCTGTATCGCCTCTCTATGAGTTCTGGACAAGTCCCGAAATCCTGGAAGCTTGCAAATGTACAGCCTGTACCTAAGAAAGGTAGTCATGCCGACCCATCTAATTATCGACCTATCGCAATCACCTCCATACTCTGTAAGACTATGGAGCGCGTATTGAACAGCCGTCTCCTTGGATACCTCGAAGATAACGATCTCCTCAGTGATCGACAATATGGTTTTCGCCGTGGACGATCTACTGGGGATCTTCTTGCGTACGCCACACATTTATGGAGCGAGGTTGTCGAGAAACGCGGTGAATTGCTTGCCGTGTCTCTCGACATATCAAAGGCCTTTGATAGGGTTTGGCATGATAGCCTGTTAAACGAGCTTCCAGCTTACGGAATTCCTGTTGGCTTTTGCACATGGATAGGCGATTTTCTGAAGGATAGGTCAATCCGTGTAGTTGTAGATGGTTACTCGTCTGCTCCTCATGGTATAAATGCCGGTGTACCTCAGGGATCTGTCCTCTCCGCCACTCTATTCTTGCTGCATATCAACGACCTGCTGCTGATGCCCGGTATCTTTGGGTACGCAGACGACAGCACAGTGGCGGTGAGTTATGTGCCAGACGCCCGAGACAACAGTGAAGAGATCCGGTGTAAGCGAGAGGCGATGGTCACCCGGTTGAACCTGAGTCTGAAAGCTGCTTCCGACTGGGGAGATGCTAACAGGGTCAGGTTTAATGCGGTTAAAACACAGGCGTGTCTTTTCTCATCAAAACGGAGTCCCCTACACCTTACTCCGACTTTCCGAGGTGTATCCGTGCCGATAAGGGACCACCTTGAGCTACTTGGTCTGGACTTATCATCCAACCTCAACTTTGGGCGATACATCGAGTGCTTGGCAAAAACTGCTGCCAGAAAACTAGGCATACTTTTCAAGGTCAGGCGGTACTTCACACCTGAACAGCTTTTAAATCTATATAAAGCACAAGTTCGATCCTGTATGGAGTACTGCTGCCACCTTTGGGACGGCTCTGCCCAATACCAGTTAGCTGCCTTGGACTCGGTGGAGCGTAAAGCAAAGAGACTTATTAACAATAATCCTCTTGTGGAGTCGAAGCTCCAAAATCTCGATCATCGCAGAAAAGTAGCCTGCTTGTCGGTTTTCTATCGGATACATTTCGGGGAGTGTGCGCAGGAACTTTTCAATTTGGTTCCGCCCTCACCGTTCCTCCTTCGGTCGACTAGAAGGTCCGGAGCACTCCATTCTTATGTCGTTGATATTCCACCTATTCGCACTAAGCGCTTTGCTTCCTCCTTTCTGATGCGTACGGCAAAGGAATGGAATGCTCTACCGGCATCTGTATTTCCCGAAAAGTACAATTTGGGGCTATTCAAGGCTAGAGTGAATAGGCATTTTTTAGGCAAACACGTCCCATCGTCGGTCACATCGTCGCTTAACATCAGGTGAGATTGTGGCCAAGCGTGTGTCTATTATATATATAATATAAAATATTATGGTAGGCCCCCACATAAAGTCTTACAAAAATTGAAGTATACTAAACATGCCTTTATTTATTAGCATTGCATGTTTTATTTATTTATTTTTTATTTATTTATTTATTTGCATTAAGGTAACAAAGACCTGCAAATACATACCTTATAGACTAACGTACATAATAATACAATAAAAACACTACTGACTATTATTTACACTTATTACTACTACTTTACTATTATTATTTACACGTATTGTCTGCGACGTGTGACGCACCGTGGGTCTCGGATAGTCGGAAACGTCGGTACATGACCCCCTTCGGCCAAAACTCATCTTTCATGAAGGTCGACAGATGTTGAGTTGGTACTCTCACCACAAATGAATTAAAATTTACATAGTGTGTAGTGGCGGGACACCAACTGCTCGACCCTCAGGGTAGCATCGGCAGACTTTGTGGAGTAATGAAACCGTGACACGTATAACAACGTCGTCGGTATCGTTGGACGCAGTAAATGATTAGGGCCAGACGGGGCGGTGACACCAAGTTTACAGCTGGTGTACTTCTTCCTTTCCACCTTTTTGAAACCGTCCTCGTCGCAATGTTCTCTTCTCTCTATGAACTATATATACTGTTCTCTTCTCTCTGTGAACTATATAAACTCTTCTCGGTGGTACTGATGATACATCTCCAGAGATGGGTATCCGTTTCATTTTCTTCCCCTTTGTTGGTAACTGCCTGGGTTGTGGTTGTGAAGCACTGGATCGGTTAGCAGCGGCAACAGCAGCGTAGGCACGTTGAGGGGTCAATATGCTTGCACGTGACCTCTCCGCCGGGGCGGAAGAACGAGTGGCGGGGAACGGGGAAACGCACGTGGTGACAGTGGTTGGCGACGTATGGGCCGAGTCAAAACTGCCGATAGATGCGTTTTGCGCCCCGCGACAAGTATTCACGTTACTGGCCTCGGGTGACCTACTTACCGAAGCCGCACTACTCAGTAACTCAACTTGGGCACGCAAATCACTGATGGTATTGTCCGAGGCCTCCAATTTACAGTGAACTTCAGCAAGGCTCGCTTTTAGGGACATGATGTCCTTCAGCAGCCTGGTGACGTCGACGCGGTCGAACGTGACAGCTTGTGCAGCTCCTTCGCCACGAAAGCAGGCACGTTTTCTGGGTCGGTCTCCTTTAACAATGTGATGATGTCCTGGAGACTCTTCGCTCCTCCCTCGCTCCGGCGAAATGGCATTTGCTCAGCCTTGCCAAGCACACGGAAAAGCAGCGCCTTGCCACTGCAAATCTCCTCTTCCTTCAAATTTGATTTGCAGACCTGCACGATTCTGATCTCGTCCATAGTGTTGACGGCGTGTTGGAT